AGCCCGGACCGTCGTCTGAGAGGAATTACGGATTGTATTATCCTAATGGTACTCTAGTTTACGATATTGGATCAGCCTCAGCCACAGCCACAGCCTCAGCCTCAGCCTCAGCCTCAGCATCAGCATCTGTATCACCATCACAAGGTTATCTTCCACTTCCGCAAATGGATTATTCAGCTTCAAAGAAAAATGTAAGGAAATGTCTAAACTTAACGAACTCGTCTAGCGTTTTTTTAGCATCATTTTACTTTTCCAGTTCAGCCTAAAACATGTGCTGCATGTTTCATGTTTGGTTGGAAGCATTAGATAGTACTAGACAGTTTGGGAAAGAAAAATAAGCTAAAATCTTGTTTAGTATATTGTTTGACTCCTCCAGAATACCATGTTCTTAAATGCGCATAATGACTCGATTGAGGAACTGGTTGAATCAGTCTAATGATATCTTTTCTCGTACGTTTCAGGTCATATCTTTCTTTAACGTCCTCCTCCTCCCCGTAGCCTTTTTAGTATGTGCTCTATAGAAGGGACGACTCCAGAAAATAAGCAGCCAAATTTTAACTCCGCTCGTTGGGGCGGACATTAGAGGTAAGAAGATCTACACCTTTTACTGTCATTTATTTATCTCCTTAGTGATTTTTGCATATGAGAAGAGATGGTATCCTCCATGCACATTTACATGGTTTTGATTTTGTTAGAAATTATAAAACTTTTAAATCGACATAGGCAGATGAATAATGCCCCGAGCACAGGGCACTATTCATATAGGGGCCTTACGAGCTGCTCACTGTAGAGGGCAGGCCAATAAGTCTGACCTACATTAAAAAATAAATAAATTTGCATGAGCCCCACCTTGTATCTATTCTGACAGATGCCTGTCGGCATCTGCCTGTACATGAAGCAGAACCAGATAACAACGTTTCTTTAATTTTGATCCATTGAATACCATTAGAAGATAATCATTGAATATTAGAATAATGGAAATGAGTATCCTCTCTCTCCACTTGAAATAATGTATATGAATCTCAATTTCGCCCTCGGGGACATAGTCCAATGGTGCAAAGGACGGGAGTGAGATAGTTTCAGCCTTACTGACAGTTGCAGTGTGAGAATTCGATTCTTGAGACATAAAATTGGACTTTTTGTGAGCACCAGTGTACAGACAAGCTCTTATTCCCTGACCTGTTGGGACACATCTCGCGATTTACCTCCTTCACGATGCTCCAGAGGCAGGACCGTGGAGGACCCTCAAAGTTGGGGTTCAACCGTTTTTTATGAATCTCAATTTCAGCACGGAACGATCCCTATCTTCTCCTGGACAAAAGTCCATACCAAATTCTACCAGCTTTTAGCAATATTAAGACTTTTTTAATCAACCGCCTAAATTGAAAATTACTTATATTGTCTCTTACTTTTTGTTTTCTTGCCAATAAGAATCTTTGCGTCACTATCAGGTCAAGTAGCATGCTGTAGTTTTCTGGTGTCAACTTCACATCAATTTCAGAGTTGCATCATAGCTACTTTTGGCCTTACAAGAATCAAACTGCTACCCTTCGTCTATTTGTTCTTGCCTTCGAATAAAGCTTTTAAACTTTAAAATATCTCCTCGATTGAGGATTAACGTAATTTTTTTACTTGAGAAATTTTGTTCGGTTTCTTGAGATTTTTTTTTTCTTTTTTTTTGCCAAGTGGAAAACTTTATTTCTCGTTCTTGAGCTGTAACATCGGTGTGACGCTGGAGCCACATGGTATGTGGGTTTCAACATCATGGACACCGATATTTTTTTTTTTTTTTTAATGTGTTGTTACATCATCACGATGTATTTGTTTCGATAAATCACACTGGCTATTGTCTGTATACTACAAAATCTGCCAAACCTATTATTTATGGGGTCCAACGATGTTGAAACCACCAATCAAACTATGCCATGATGACTTTATTTGAATATGATATTCATCTATCATTAATTAGTTGAACCACTGCCTAGATGATGTCTGGTAATTGAAGAAACATTATGGCAAATAATGTAATAAGCTTTTACCTTTATGATAGGACGTTGCTTTATAAGCATGTCTTTTACTTTTCTTAAGTAACTTTTTTTAGAAGTTACTTTTTTTGACAGGAAGTTAGTTCTCTTTTCTATCTCTTTCACTTGTGAGCGAAGTTTTACATGCTCTTCGGATGACCATTCTGAACTTTGAACAATTTATTCATTTGTCTATTTGCAGGGAGTCGAGCATCCGTAAATCTATTAGAATCCGAGAAATTTCATATACATACGGTCATAGTATCCTTGGACATCAGATGTTTCAAGGGAGAAGGTAATTTGTCGGGAGAAATTGAAATAATAAAGGGTTGTATCACCAAACAACATTGATAGATTATTCTTAGGGGATAGTTCACTAGCACGTATCATAATATTATTGTTATTTATGAATATCTATAGTTTAGGTTTGCTATTTATTCATTAAACTTCTTGCTGATTCCACCTAATACAATAAGTTTATCTTCATTGAATTTAATCCTTTTAAAGTTTGTGTGGGCATACTCGTATGTGTGTGACACAACTTTTGGCGATCTTGACGACGAGAAACTGTCGGAGCTGGTCGCCGATCGTCACAGGTGGCTGGTTTTGATTGGCTGTTGCATTTGTGAAAGTTAAAAATGTTATTTGGTCTAATAAAACATTATAATGTAATAAATTTTCAAAATGGTTGAGCTTGTTTTGTAATCAAGAGGTTGAAGGGCTCAATTCCTATACCTACATCTTTAATGGGGAAGGTTTTATAACTCATCTACCATTCCTGTAATGAGGGTCTGTTTGTCTGAGCAACAGTTCAAATATTTTTCATCCCTTTGTTAAACTCATCATCAAGGCTACTACAAGATCTCAAAAACAATAAAGAACTGAACATTATTCTTAAAAAAATTTGTACTTGACCATATGAATTCTCCTTTACTATTCAGTTTTGTTCGTTATCAGATCTACTACAAGATCCAATAGTACTACTAAATTTTCACAAATAATGGACTGACTTCATCTTTGGCAGGAAGAAGAAGAATCTATACTTTGACAGACAGAAAAAAATTCTAGAAAACTAGGATTTCTATTTAAAAATCTACTCGTTTTTATGCAGAACTAGATCATAATGACAGAGAATATTTTACTTGTTTATCTTATCTAAGATCCTTCAATATTGTCTAATTCACCTCCAAATATTTCTCCAAACTAAATTCTTTTGGACCTAATTTTCTAGCTTGAGTCACAACTTACAAGTCAGAAAAGTTACTCGTTTTATGCAGTACTAGATCATAATGACCGAGAATATTTTAACTTGTTTTTCTCATTAAAATAGTTTAGTATGATCTAATTCACCTTCAAATAATTCTCCAAACTAAATTCTATTGGAACTAATTTTCTAGCTTGAGTTGCAGCTTACAGGTCAGAATAAAATTGAACAAGTCTAATAAGGGAAACAGAAAATGCAGCCAAACATTATGAAAATAGAACAGAAAATGCTCATTAAAGAATTATAACAAAACAAATAATCCTATAAAAATAACTCAAATTCAAACACATTATCTAGAGTGTGAATTAATCATACCTTCAAGGCTCCATGTTTCATTGACAGCAGCAGTAATCATCAGGATCAAATAAGTAGCCCTGTTTGAGATAAAACTCGAAAATCCACAAAACGTCGTCTCAAATTATTTTCTTAACTCTCCATAACAAATATTTGCCATGAGGGCAAGCCCAGATTCTTTCTCCATGGAAACCACAATAGCATCAGTTACACCAAATTCCATTCATGCCCAACAATCCAAATCGACATCCAAACCACCAGCCATGCCAACAGCATCAATTACACACAATTCTACTCCCGCCCGACCATCAGGGTTACCCCTGTCATAACACGTCTCTTCTTCCACTGCTGCTTCTTGAAATGACATTCCTTCGGCTTGAAGGTTGCTAAAGTCTCCTGAGTGCTGATTCGAGGATTTGGTACCTTCTTTTTACAAGGAACAACAGCGTAAATAGATTTTCCAACACGATCTTCAGAGGCAGATGTATCAGCCTGGATGGCCAATGAGGCAGTCCTCCAGCTTTAATCCCAGCTTCCTTCTTCGTGCTTGCTGAAGCTCTAATATATTTGATGCCCCCAATTTAAACAGTACAAGAAAACAACGTTGTTCGTCTTCCTCCCTCAATTTTATGGAATTCATATAATGGAACTGCGAAGTTCATCTTTCGAGCATATTCTTGTAACAAATTTTTGCACAAGGCAGTCTGACACTGAAATATAAACCCTTCAAACAATACCAACACAGATAAAAAAGATGAAGAGAATTGAAACGGGAAAGAACCAACGACTAGAACAAGCAAAACAAACACACTTAGTTGCTCTTTTTAGAATTTTAACAGGGCTTCTTAGTTTCACTTTGTTTTCCTCTATGGGATGTGTAAGATCAGATTTTCTAGACCAATCAGTAACCTGCTACACTACAAACACAAATCTTATTCCTATGTTCGTATTGTAAAGGCGATTTTTATTATTCTTAGTGATAATGCTTCTTGAAGATAGTGTCCCAATTGTTTAGTAATCACCGAGGTATTTCATTGATCATGCTGAAGAGCACTGTCTCAATTAGAGTGACTATGAATAACAAACTTAGCACCACTATCAACGTTTAGCAAATAGTAGAATTTCAATTTTGAGCAACCAGGTTGTGCGAGAATTTTCTGACCAAAAATAGCAAAGGTCATACAATAATTTCAGTAATCTTGCATCACAAAATTAACACTCAAATGGTATTTTGATAATTAAATAGGCAAGTCATTGAGTTGACCAAGGAGAACTTAAGATTACTATAATGCAATTCAAGCAAACCCTTCCTATTGATATTTCCAGATACTGTATCGCCCTCATTTTACTCAAAACTAGTTTTAGCAAAAGTTGGGAAATTTCGGCATAAACCCACTGCACCAACAAATGCAAGATAAAAGCAGTTTTTGTTTCTGGGAGAAGGGAGGAACCAAGGAGTAGAGGGTTATTATGATGGCATTAAGCAGAAGATACAAGGAAATCAATAAATCGTGCTAAAAATGTACATGGTTCTACACGTAATGAGCAAATAATTCCTTGTTCATCCAAGATAATTACCACTGGTTGAGAGATGCCAAAAAAGTGTCCACAGATTTGACAAGTTCCAAGAGAGCTACTTCAGCAGCTGACTGCTCTGCCGCCTTGCGATTATAAAATCCAGGTACAGAATAGTATTTAATGTTGTCCAGAATTACTGCTATTTTAAAGAAAGGCTCATGAGAAGGGCCTTCCTTAATGGTCTCATAAACAGGCGTCCGAAGCCACTCTCTGAGCATACTCTTGGATTTTAAGAAATGTATTTGCCTTAAATAAATATGTGAACTTGGATTTTAAGAAATGTATTTGCCTTAAATTAAAACACAGTGATCATGACAGATGGCATTTTTGAGGAATGAAAACACTCAAAACCATCTTTAAGAGTGTCTACTTCCGAATTAATTAACTGGACAAAGAATCCATTGCTAACTTCAGTGAGAATTAATTCTACTTGATGGAATGTGATGATATTTGGTAAATCCAAGATTTAGTCAAATTACAATATGCTGTCTTCATAAACGGAAGAAGTGCTACAAATACCATTTCAAAACCATATGGAAAATTTATGTTTAATATCAGATATCTAAGGGATAAAGGATAGTGATCTTAATACTTTCTTAAGTGTCAAAAATCTCATTTATCATCTAGATTGCAAATTTCTACGAATCATCCAAAATGGTGCAGTTTTTCTTTTTGCAATGTGGTCCAATTTGTGACATCTCCTCAAATGAATGGATGAAATGCCCATAAATAGACAAGGTGTGCACACACATGAGGGCATTAACACAAATGTATACGAATGTAGATCATTTGCTGCCAAAGAGAAAATTTATTTATTTTTCAAGCTAAAGGTGTCGAAATTATGATTCACCTGAGTAAACTTACATCTGTGTAAAAACGTATTCATCTGAGTAATCAATATTGGACATCGAACAGGTTGTCCAAAAAACCTTCAGGTGATTGGTAATGGTGAAGGTGAAGGTGGGAGCGAAGCTGATGGCTGCAAGAGCACATGTTAGTCTTTCGGACAAGACCAGTACTGCTGCAGCGAAGAAGTCGCAACTTGCCGGCCATCATTCTACTCAAATATCTTCAAGAGTGCATGTCCAAGAGCTTAAAGCTATGCATTTAATGATGTAACCAGCACTTTCACTTGCAAGGCTAATGAATGCGACATGATATTTTGTCCCAACGGGAGGTAATTATATCCCAAATTCTTCTCCTGGTTCCTGCATTTGTGTTTCTTAGTGAAAATCTGAATCCTAGTTATATAACAAAGAAAACTTACATCTGAAAATGCCAAAAAGCATTCATCCGTATAAAAAAGGTTTAAAAAAATATATGAGAAGCATGTGCTGTTACTTGTAGATGAATCGTACTGCTTCTTTGCAGAGGATGCTGATACAGAATCCAATCTAGGACTAGAAAACTGCTCTGCCAGAAAAACTTGAGCAGCTTCCATTTCCACCTTCAGCAGTCTCACTTCCTTTTAAACTCCTCTACTGTATCTTTGATCTATTGACAGAGAATTGCAATTCAATCACCAAAAAACGCAACTCTGAGCAACTACTGGAAATAAAAAATCACAGTTAATAAAATATACTCAAATCTCAAACTATATTAATCCTATTGAATGAATCCCATTTCTCTCGAAGTATATCTTTAGTTCCAATCACTTCCTTCCAACAATCCGTTTCATCTAATCATCTTATTTACCATTCTAGATACTTTTCAAATGCTCTCACACGTGCAAAAATAAGAAGATATATATATCTTTTTTTTTTTTTTTTTTAAAGAATGATTAACGATAAAATGAAAAACAACGAAAGGGATGAAAAGAATCACCAGAAAGTAACAGGAATTCAGAGGTATCAAATAATCTGATGGCTAGGGTTTTGATACAACGATGCGATTTGGATTGAACCCTGCCATTTGGAATTGGGGAAGACAATAAAGCTTCTCGTAACCATGGTGTACAGCCTACATGAATTTTATAGTTGTGAATGTCTCACAGGGTGTAAAGGTGCACAGCAAGCGGGAAAGAATAGAGTGCAGAGCTAAACTGCAGTGTACTGGCAAGAACCACGCGGCTCGCGTGCACAATTGCGGGGAGAGCATGTTTCGCTAATAAAATAAAATCATAAGTTTTAATCTTGGCCAAACACGTATTACACTTTTTATGGGAAAATATATTTTTGTGCAAATTCGACTGTGGATCCGAACCTCTCACAAGTGTTGCAAGTAAGTCATTAAACTTTTATAAATGTGTGGCAACGGTGTCTTCACGTGACAGAAAATGTCGTCGACTTTCAAAAAATTGAATTTCATATTAAGAGCGACGGTTTGAATTATAACTCAATAAAATTAAGTTATGAATAAGTGAATTGCACTTATTTTCCATCAAAAAGTATGAAAAAATGGCAGGAGTATTTGTAAATAATTTGTAATTATTTGCCAAACATAGGCTAAGATGACATTAAGGAAAACAGAGGTAAAAAGAAATAAGAAAATACTACAATTTGTTTAGATTTCATTAATTCATTATGAGTAACTTATAAGGAGATTATAATGAGAGGAAAACAGGTCCATAAAATGTGTAGATAATAAGTGAATGATAGACGTAAATGTGTGTTTAAAATTAAAATTTGACTTTTATTGAAAATTATAAGTTACTCATAAGAAAATATGTATACATCATTAGAATTTACTTATCCATCTTATCCATTCCCTTTAAATTCAATCCTAGTGGCGTCACATCATGCGTATAGGTAAAAGGGGTTGGTTAGATGGATGCGTAGGAGCCAAATTCGATCCCAAGGCATTGTTTCAAGTCACAAATGGAAGAGCCATATGTGCCACCAATTGATTCGGAGGTTCTTGTATATGATAGAAGATCTATCCTTCTACAAATCTATGATAATAAGATAAGGGTAATGCTCCTCTACCAGACCTGTAAAAGGCCTGGTAAAGGCTTCATCTCCCATTTTCTCTCACCTCGGTGGGCCCCATAATTAAAAAAATACCCCCAAAAACCCACCCTACCTTGAACTGTGAGAGGGGCTGCACTATCAGGCCTCTTACAGGTCTGGTAGTGTAGCATGGTCCATAAGATAAAGATATTCCAACATACGTAATGTGACAGTAGGTCCTATCCATCAAGAATTTTGCAAAATAAAGCAAAATGCCAGTATCTACTACATCCTTCCATAAGCTATCACCTAAAAAAGAAGTAACTAGGGTAAAAGCTATACCTAAAGAAAAGTGTAGCCCAAGCATACTATTTTAGGTAAAGAGGAAAGTGATATTAAGATCCCATTTGGTACACATTAATGTAAAAATGAGAATGAAAAATATAGTCGTTACAAACTTCACACAAGAGATAGAAAGTCAAATATGGTGGCTTGATGTGATGGATAACAATCATATTTTTTCATTTTAATGAATGGAAAACAAACGAATGTCCAAGAGCTTAAAGCTATGCATTTAATGATGTAACCAGCACTTTCACTTGCAAGGCTAATGAATGCGACATGATATTTTGTCCCAACGGGAGGTAATTATATCCCAAATTCTTCTCCTGGTTCCTGCATTTGTGTTTCTTAGTGAAAATCTGAATCCTAGTTATATAACAAAGAAAACTTACATCTGAAAATGCCAAAAAGCATTCATCCGTATAAAAAAGGTTTAAAAAAATATATGAGAAGCATGTGCTGTTACTTGTAGATGAATCGTACTGCTTCTTTGCAGAGGATGCTGATACAGAATCCAATCTAGGACTAGAAAACTGCTCTGCCAGAAAAACTTGAGCAGCTTCCATTTCCACCTTCAGCAGTCTCACTTCCTTTTAAACTCCTCTACTGTATCTTTGATCTATTGACAGAGAATTGCAATTCAATCACCAAAAAACGCAACTCTGAGCAACTACTGGAAATAAAAAATCACAGTTAATAAAATATACTCAAATCTCAAACTATATTAATCCTATTGAATGAATCCCATTTCTCTCGAAGTATATCTTTAGTTCCAATCACTTCCTTCCAACAATCCGTTTCATCTAATCATCTTATTTACCATTCTAGATACTTTTCAAATGCTCTCACACGTGCAAAAATAAGAAGATATATATATCTTTTTTTTTTTTTTTTTTAAAGAATGATTAACGATAAAATGAAAAACAACGAAAGGGATGAAAAGAATCACCAGAAAGTAACAGGAATTCAGAGGTATCAAATAATCTGATGGCTAGGGTTTTGATGCAACGATGCGATTTGGATTGAACCCTGCCATTTGGAATTGGGGAAGACAATAAAGCTTCTCGTAACCATGGTGTACAGCCTACATGAATTTTATGGTTGTAAATGTCTCACAGGGTGTAAAGGTGCACAGCAAGCACTATTGTTGGGGAAGAATAGAGTGCAGAGCTAAACTGCAGTGTACTGGCAAGAACCACGCGGCTCGCGTGCACAATTGCGGGGAGAGCATGTTTCGCTAATAAAATAAAATTATAAGTTTTAATCTTGGCCAAACACGTATTACACTTTCTATGGGAAAATATATTTTTGTGCAAATTCGACTGTGGATCCTAACCTCTCACAAGTGTTGCGAGTAAGTCATTAAACTTTTATAAATATGTAGCAACGGTGTCTTCACGTGACAGAAAATGTCGTCGACTTTCAAAAAATTGAATTTCATATTAAGAGCGACGGTTTGAATTATAACTCAATAAAATTAAGTTATGAATAAGTGAATTGTAATTATTTTCCATCAAAAAGTATGAAAAATGGCAGGAGTATTTGTAAATAATTTGTAATTATTTGCCAGACATATGCTAAGATGACATTAAGGAAAACAGAGGTAAAAAGAAATAAGAAAATACTACAATTTGTTTACATTTCATTAATTCATTATGAGTAACTTATTAGGAGATTATAATGAGAGGAAAACAAGTCCATAAAATGTGTAGATAATAAGTGAATGATAGACGTAAATGTGTGTTTAAAATTAAAATTTGACTTTTATTGAAAATTATAAGTTACTCATAAGAAAATCTGTATACATCATTAGAATTTACTTATCCATCTTATCCATTCCCTTTAAATTCAATCCTAGTGGCGTCACATCATGCGTATGGGTAAAAGGGGTTGGTTAGATGGATGCGTAGGAGCCAAATTCGATCCCAAGGCATTGTTTCAAGTCTCAAATGGAAGAGCCATATGTGCCACCAATTGATTCGGAGGTTCTTGTATATGATAGAAGATGTATCCTTCCACAAATCTATGATAATAAGATAAGGGTAATGCTCCTCTACCAGACCTGTAAAAGGTCTGGTAGAGACCTCATCTCCCATTTTTTCTCACCTCGGTGGGCCCCATGATTAAAAAAATACCCCCAAAAACCCACCCTACCTTGAACTGTGAGAGGGGCTGCACTATCAGGCCTCTTACAGGTCTGGTAGTGTAGCATGGTCCATAAGATAAAGATATTCCAACATACGTAATGTGACAGTAGGTCCTATCCATCAAGAATTTTGCAAAATAAAGCAAAATGCCAGTATCTACTACATCCTTCCATAAGCTATCACCTAAAAAAGAAGTAACTAGGGTAAAAGCTATACCTAAAGAAAAGTGTAGCCCAAGCATACTATTTTAGGTAAAGAGGAAAGTGATATTAAGACCACATTTGGTACACATTAATGTAAAAATAAGAATTAAAAATATAGTCGTTACAAGCCTCACACAAGAGATAGAAAGTCAAATATGGTGGCTTGATGTGATGGATAACAGTCATATTTTTTCATTTTAATGAATGGAAAACAAACGAGGGCTAAGTGCATTGACAACTGATAAGTATGTTTTTACACACTTATTTGGTTCACAAACATGACTTAAACATGGATAAAATGGTTGAATTGTGGCTTAATCCTATTAAATTCATGCAATGTAGGTATTTCAATGGAAATTGTGGAATTCAGGAGAAAAGAGCCGAAGAAGGACCAAAACGCAACAAAGTGATAGTTCGAGGACTAAATGTGCAAATATTGAGAAGTTGAGCTAAATGCAAAACGAGAGTAACAACATGCCGAGTATGAGCTTAAGGACAAAGCAAAAACTCCACTATTCTAAAATGTTGATGTAGTATGTAATAAGGGTTGGAGGGAGAAAGTATTGAAGAGGGACTGAAATGAAGACAATTGAAAGTTGGAGGACTAAAGCGCAAATACACGAAAGATGAGCCGAATGAGTGGCATGAGATTTGATGGTGTCAATCATCAATTGGAGGATAAAATTTCTTGAAAAGATGAAGAAATCGAAGAAAGAAGTCAAAAGAAGCAACAAGGAAAGTTCGGGGACCAAAATGAAGGGACTTCATAGATGGCCAAACTATGCGACCGCATAGTGTAATCATCTATGCGGTCGCATAGATGGATGCAGGGAAAAATTGGTGAATTTCAAGTGACCTATGCGACCGCATAGGATCCTTCTATGCGGTCGCATAGGTATAATTTCGGGGCGTTTCTGCAGTTTCCTTTTTCTATGCGGTCGCATAGGTATAATTTCGGGGCGTTTCTGCAGTTTCCTTTTTCGACTCCAACTCTTTTTTAACCTAATTTGGACATACTATATATACCCTAAAACACGTCCAGAACAAGGGTAGACGGTTTTGGGAGCAAAGAGGCACACAATAACATCAAAATCCAAGAAATTATGCAAGAAGAAGGAGGATTTCATCAAGATTGAAAATTTCAAGCATCAATTATAATAGGGTGATGTTTTCTCCTTTATTCAATTTTTGTAATTTTCTTCAAAACATGATAGGCTAATTTTTTATTTCATTGGGAGTCGATAAACCTTTGATTTTCTTATAAATTCCTATATTTCATGAGTTTAATATAAATTGTCTTTGGAATAAATTGTTTGATTTATATTGTTTTGATTGAATCCATGATTTATTGGCCATTTATTATGTGATTGTGATGGTTTATTCTTTACATTCGAAAAAAGTAGAATAGACTCGATATATATAAATTGACATAGGGTCCGATAGGGGATAGAAATATACCCCTATGTTTTATGCAGTTCGGTAATTGTTTATAGAATTTCATGCGTTTTTGTATGTTACATCATCCATAGAAATATAGGCTGATGATATGCAGAAATAGATCTAATATATATCGAGAGAGTATATTAGATAGGCGTAGGAACATTGAATTGACAATTTTCCATTGATTAATTGGATTTGTGAAATTAGGGTTTATAGAAATCAAATGGGGATTCGATATCCCAATGATTTTATTTCAACTTATTTCTACAATTTAATTTACAACATTGCATATTTACAATTTAATTCGTAGTTTGATTTATCAATTTAGTGAAATTTTGAAAGTAGGGTTCTTGATTTTGAAATTAGGGTTTTCAAATTTGGGGATTTTTCCCAAAATTAGGGCTTTTGCAAAATTAATCACCTTTCTACCCAATTGGTATCGGTTAAGGTCACAATAGTTAAATTAGAGTTAATTCAATCCTCGTGGGAACGATACTTGGACTCATAGTCCATTTTACTACTTGCTAACGAACCGTACACTTGCGGTGAGATTTTTAAATTGAAAGAAATATTTGCGAACAAGTTTTTGGCGCCGTTGCCGGGGATTGAATTTTAGTTTTAATTCTATCTTTTGTGACACTAATTCGAACTTATTTAGTTTAGTACTTGTTAATTTTATTAGATTTATTTTATTATTGTTTATATTGAATTTTTGTGTTAATTCTGCCATATCAGGGCTTGTATGCAAGGAGCACTTGATCAAGACTTGGTCCCTATAGATCCAGAGATCGAACGCACATTTCGTCACAGGCAAAGGGAAGCAAGAGTGGTACAACAAATGGCTAACGAGCAAAATTGACCGAGAATTCCACTCAACGAAGGTTTGGCAGTGGAAGAGGATGGAAATACGGTACTTGGGGATTTCATGGCACCATTGGTGGTGCAAAGTCAATCTAGTATTGTTTATCCTCCATTTGGGCAACCGAACTTTCAACTGAAGACAAACGTGATTCAACTGTTTCAAAATGGGCAGGAATACCATGGGATGGCTAGTGAGAATCTGCATACACACATATCTCGATTTCTTGATATGTGTCAACACTTCAGATACCAAGGTATCTCCGATGATGCTATAAGACTGCGCTTGTTCCTGCACACCTTGAGGGATAAAGCACTTGAATGTCTGGATTCACTTCCTGTCGGAAGCATCACTACTTGGAACGAGCTAGCTCATAAATTCTGCACCAAGTTCTTCTCGCCAGCTAAAGTAGCTAAAATGCGGCATGACATCTCAATATTCAACCAGATTGAGTCAGAATCATTTGAAGAGGCATGGAACCGTTTCAAGAACATGTTAAGGAAGTGCCCGCAACATGGCTTTGACAAGAAGACCCAGATCAAATTTTTCTACACTGGATTACTCCCATCATTCAAGAGTATGGTGGATGCATCATCTGACGGGTCTATCTCTACAAGAACAATTGACGGAGCCTGGGAGCTGTTTGAGAGGATGGCTACAACTTCAGCTATGTGGTCTACAGATCGAGTAGTTCAGAAGAGAGCACCTGGGGTGTATGAAGTAGATACTTACTTAGCACTGTCGGCGAAAATAGATTCCTTATTCCATAAGGTTGAAAGCATTTCACAAACCGCCACTGCTAAACAAGTTATGAAGCAGAGTTGTGAAGAATGTGGAGCAGATCACAGTACTGCTACTTGCCCAATTCTAGCACAAGGAGTAGAACATGCAGAATTCGCACGATGGGGTCAGCGCCAGCAGAATAACCCACATTCAGAAACCTTTAATCCAGGCTGGAGAAAACACCCAAATTTCTCGTGGGCTAATCAGAATCAAAATAGACCACAATGGCAATATCAGCAGCAAGACAAAAAGCCACCATTGGAGGATATGTTCGAGAAATTTATTGCACACACCAATCAGTACATGGAAGCCAATAACCAATTTATGCGAAGGACGGAAACAACGCTTCAAGATCAAAGTGCAGCGATCAAGAACTTGGAGACACAAGTGGGACAGATAGCAATTTCCATGACGGGTAGAGCACCGGGAAACCTACCCAGCAATACTGAAATTATCCCTAAGGAACATGCAAAGGCTATAACAACCAGAAGTGGAGTACAACTGTCGGAACCACATGTAAAAAGTTCGGGAGCCAACAAGGAATCAACGCCAACCTTGGAGGAAGAAATTGTGGAGCAAACTGACAATACAACAGGAGATGAGGTTAAGAGGAATTCCAAGACATCACAGGGTAAAAATACAAATCCTGTTAACCCTCATGAGCGTCCTATTCCGTTTCCACAAAGGTTGAGAAAGCATAAAATGGAGCAGTAATACAGTAAGTTCCTTGAAGTCTTCAAGAAACTGCATATTAACATCCCATTTGCTGAAGCACTTGTCCAGATGCCGAGCTATGCAAAATTCCTGA